GGGCAATTGAGAAGGGGCAGCATGTAGGATATGTCTGTTTTCAACTTATCATTTCAGTTGTCAAGAGGTGAGTCTTCTCACCATACCAATGGGTCTAAGGCACTAAGGTCGTCCCATTTTATGATAGTTGGTATACTTTCTATGTAGAGGTGTGTGATATGTATGTATGTGTGATATGCGGTAGAGATAGACTGGTGGCTAATGGTAGAGATAGCCTTTATGGCTAATGGTAGAGATAGCCTTTGTGGCTAACCGTAGAGATAGATTGTATAGCTAATTGATATGTGCTAATGGTAGAGATAGCCTTTGTGGCTAATGGTAGAGATAGCTTGTATAGCTAATTGATATGTGCCAATGGTAGAGATAGCTTTTATAGTTATTTGACATGTGATATGAGGCAAAAGTAGCTTTTACAGCTAATACAATATGTGTTATGTGGATTGTGTGCGGGGTATGCTCTGGTGGACTCACTAAGCTTTGTGCTTACGGTTTACAGTTTTGGTTTTAGGTTTCATTGATTTGGAAATGAAGGGCCCGGATTGATCGCAGTGCACACAACTATTATTTCCGCAATGAATGATTTTGGGACGAACTCTATAAAATGTTTCTAATTAACAATGTTTAGAATGTTTGGAATAAATTGTAATTATGGTTGGGTTATATTAAAAATGAAAATTTTACCCCTAATTTTTGGTTCGCTACAAGTTGGTATCAGAGCCTTGGTTTGAGGGATTCGGGGATACCTTTGGGTGTGTCTGAACTCAAATTGAGGATCTGTAAAGTTTTCAAAAACTTTTAAAAGAAAACGTTTTAAGTAAAGAATTTCTAAGACAAGAAAGGGTGTGATGCATGCAATCAACCAAGCTCAAGTAAGTTACCCCAGAATACCCACATTTGTTATATGTTATGATTTGATTATGAATATGTGAATCGCATGCTAGTTAGGGCTAGGGGAGATGCTTGTATATGTTCTATGAGTGTTAGGCGTGTCAAACCCAACAAATAAAGGGGTACGATATACTCCAAAATAATCCCACTATATTGCACTAAAAGGTAGTACAAGGCAAGCAGGGTCGATCCACAGAGACACAGGACAATTGGTCTATACCTATTTGCACAAGGTACTATGGTCACCAATAGTAAAGAGAGGGGGGTTTAGAATGTAATGATTAAACAAATAATTAAAAACATAAGAAATCAATTAAATACGTGAATTAAATTCAGAATTTGTGAGGACTCCAACCCCATGTATGACAATTTAGCAATGTAACTCCAAGATGACACAATATTCGTTCTATTCTATTTAAGTTGGTACTTGAAAGTGCTAATAAGCTCTAACACTTCCCATTCACCATATTAATTAACCAAAACAAGCTCTTTGATTAACCCTAACCTTATTAACCTAATCTAAACAAGCTCTTAGGATTAGATTATAAGATTGCATGAAGCTTTATGTGAATGTTCCCAACAACACCCAATACCCCTCATAAGCTCGGGAGTGTAAAAGTGTATGAATAAGATTTACACCAAATTCATTCAATAGAGATTAATTTAATGCTTGTTACTTGTTCAATTTGTAAAAGAGATAACTTGAATGACCTAACCCTAATTCAAATGGCCAATAAGAATCATAATTAGAATCAAACATTCGATTGAAGCAAAATCAAATTCATTAAATAGAAATTAAGAACAAATATCATGTCATATGAATGAAGTCACTACCAAGAAGTCAAAACATGAAATTGGAGAATTTAGGGTTCTAGCCACACATGGCTAGAACAAGATCACAAGTCTAAAAGATGAAATTAAGTGTAATTACAACTTACAAAAACAAGAATTAATGTTTCCAAATGGTTAACGGACAAACCCTTGCAAAAAGCTTCGAATTCCCTTCTCCAATGGTGCTCTGGTATGTTCTTCTTATGTCCAAAATGACCCTCAACCCGTAATATAAAAGATAGGAAAAACTGCCAAAAGTTGGTTTTTGGGTCGAACACGGCCCGTGTTAAAATAGGCTAAACTGACACGGGTCGTGTTCAGCAACACGCCCCGTGTTTATTTGCACTAAACTGACACGGGTCGTGTTCAGCATGGTCAACAGCTCCCATTTTGGTCAAACACGTCCCGTGCCCACTTTTCAGTGTAAATTCAACACGCCTCGTGTACCTCTCTGACTCCAAATCCAAACTTGATTTTTCCAATTTTTCGTTCTTCGCGCGATCATCCCACCAATGCTTCCCGACACTTCCCAAAGCGCGTTCCAACCTCCAGTTTACCTGAAAAAGATATAAAAGTGTGCAAATAAGGTTGTTCTAGAGACTAAAATGAATATGATAAAATGCAAGGAAAAGGAAGAACAATTGTGCTAATTATATGCATAAAATGGGACTGAAAAGGTGTGCAAAAAGGTGCACAAGTAGCACCTAACAAATCTCCCCAAGCTTAGACCTTTCTTGTCCTCAAGAAAGAACAAGAACCAGACAACAGGACGATTTCTAGATGGCAGAAAGAAAAACTTAGAACGAAAAGGGGATGAAGGATCCTAAAGGTTAAGAATGAATGCATGCAATGTAATGCCATGA